TAAATAAAATCTTTAAAGGAAAAAAAAAAGAAAATATGTTTCCATTTATTATTAGAAATAATTTTCCAGATTAAGTTATATTGCATGGTTTTCCTTTTGAAATTAAATACCACCTGCTGTTTGTTTGTTTCAGCAATGAATTTATTTGTAAAATTTATTTACTCACCACAAAGGCTACATTAAAAACAGTTATCTTGCCATGTCCTTAAAGTTTCCCTTGCTGGATATAGAATGTGGGTTGATGTTTTTTCTTTCAACACTTACATTTTGTCATTTGACTGTCTCCTGGCCTCCACAGTTTCTGATGACAAGTCAACATTGGAATTGTTCCCCTCTGTCATTTCTTTTGCTGCTTTCAACATTTTCTTTGATTTTCAGCAGTTGGACAGTTATGCCTATGTGTGGTTTTCCTGGGCTTTTCCTGTTTAAGGTTTGAGTCTAACCTGTTTAGGTTTTGATATTCTTCAGTAGGATCTTTCTTTGTTTTTGTGTTGTTGTTGTTGTTTCAAACAAGCTCTGGCCAGTTTTATTAAACATTTTGCATGATTTACTTTTCACCAGTGTGTTCTAACATGCTTCTAGAGATATCAGAATCACCTGGATCAGTGATAGCCAGCGCATACTCGCAGAATGTTCCACATGCTATGCCCAATCCGGTAGTATTGCCACTGTAGTGACGGACACCATTTTTGGCCTGTGCGGCTTAGTACTATTTCAGATTTCCTCAAGGCTTGGGCAGTTGTTACAGATGGCGACCAGTTTTGCTTTGCCTTGCTGATCATCTTTAGAGTCTGCTCCTGCCCCAGCAAGGACTTTCCACTTTTCATGAGAAGTTAGAGCCTAGAGTTGATTGACTCCAGCAACTTTTTTGTTGTCTTTGCAGCCACCATCTTCTGCCTTATGTGTGGGATGATCCCCAACCAAAAGCAGTCACCAAGGTGTCTGGGGAGGTGATCAAGATCTTCTTGATCTGTAAATTTATATCTTTTACTAACTTGGGGAAATTTTTAGTCAGTATTTCTTCAAATAGTTCTTTTCTACCCCATTGTCCCTCCCCTATCCTTCTGGATCTCCAATTACAAGTACTTTAGACTTTGTGATATTTTCCCACAGGTTCCTGAGATTCTCTTCCTCCCCTCACCCACCCCACCCCCGGTCATTTTTTTTTTCTCCATTCTTCAGGTTGGAACAATTTCTATTGCTTTATCTTCAAGTTCACTGACTATTCTGTCATTTCCAATATGCAGTTAAATCCATCCAGTGAATTTTTTATCTCAGACATTTTATTTTTCACTTTTGATTTGAGTTTGGTTCTCTCTCTTTTTTTAAAATATAGTTTCTGTTCATTTGCTTTTTTTTATCTGAGATCCAAGCATATTTGCCCTCACATCTTTAAGCATAAAGTAGCTGCTTTAGAATCCTTATGTGCTAATCATTCTACCATCTGGGTCATCTTGGACTTGCTCTCCCTTGGTTGCCTTCTCTCTTGAGTATGGGTCAGTTTTTCCCGTTCCTTACGTGTTTCTTAAGAAAAGGACGTGTAGAAACTCTGGATTCTATTGTGTTCCTCCAGTAGTGAGCATTGATGTTTGGTTGGTTTGCTTGCTTGCATTTAGGTAGGCAGTTAACTTGGCTGAACTCCCAACTGCAAACTCTGAAATCTCAGTTATTTTAGCTTTGGCGGGGCTGCTTGGAATCTCACATATGTGTAGTTTGGGGATCAGAGATGTGTGCAGAATTTATACATAGGATTTGGTGCTCCTCTCTTCTTGTGATTTACCTTACTAGGTTTTCAGCTGGTGTGGTTATGCCAAAGTCTATCCTTTGGTTCATTAAGCAAGTAGGGCTGTAGGTTTTCTGTCTAGGTTTCAGCTACCAAACCAGCTGGGGCCTGCTCTCTGGCTAAATGCCATTTAAAAAAGGGAAAATCACCCCATGCTGTTACCTTCTAAGTACTGACTCCCTTCTCCTCCCCACCATCCCTCTGTTGCTGTTTATGCTTTCTGCCCTCAAGTAGTTGTTTTTATACTTTGTCTAGTGTTTATAGTTGTTTATGAGAGAACTGATCTAGTAGGAGCTACCCAGCCATTACAGGAAGTGGAATCCCTAAAATACAGTTGTACATTTGAACAAAGAATCTTGGAAATTTGTTTTAATGATGGAATCAGTTGAAATTTATATTCATGATTCATCCTCCTCTAGTAAAGGTGGTCTAACTCAATTAGAGTGAAAATTTATTTGCCTCTCCCTCAAATTGTGTAAAAATTTCTGAATCTAGATCATTTGAAATGTGTTTTAGAAGCAAAATAATATGAAGAAACCATGTAAAGAAACAGTAAAACCTTCTTTTCATCCAACAAATGTTGCATCTTTGACCTAGGTAGGTCTTGGGGATGTAGCAGTGAACTTCAGAGTTCTTGATCCTATGGAGTTAACGTTTTGGGAACAGATAGATAGGTAAAAAATAAATACATATCAGGTATTGACAACTGCTGTGAGGAAAAGCAGGGTATGAGGATGTGATGGGGGGAGACCATTGTGGCATTATTTTAGGGAGATGGGTCAAGGAAGCTGTTTCTGAGGAAGTAACGTGATCAGAGATCTTAATGAAGTAAGAGAGGGGGGCCATGCAAGTATCTGAGGATAAAATGTCCCAGGCAGAAGGAGCAACAAGTGTAAAAACACTAAGGGAGGACAGAGTGGCTTTTTTGAGAACTAGCCAGAACTGAGGGAACTAGGAGAGTGACAGAAGTGAAAAGTCTGAGGGGTGGGAGTTAGCCAGGGGCCTTGTAGGATTTTGAGCAGGGGATTTTGCCCTGATTTACTTTTCACAGAGATCACTTCGCTCAACAGAGTGAGGGGCGGGGGTGGAGCAGAAAGTGAAGGCAGGGAGGAAACCAGTTAAGAGACCTTTGCAGCGGCATTCTAGGTGACTTACAGTGCTGGCTCAGACAAGAGCAGTAACAGGTGGGAGAAAGTGGTCAGATTCGGAATATTGTTTGCAGATACAGTGAACGAGACTTGATGCTGGATTAGATACGGGATGTGAAAGAAGGATCAATGGGATAAATGATGGCACCATTTACTGGGATGAGAAAGACTGTGGAGGGATTGGTTTGGATGGGGGGAATTAAGAGTTTAATTTTGGACATGCTAAGTTTGAAGTGAGTTTGAGATGTCAGGCAGGTAACTGGCTATATTAGTGTGGAACTCAAGGGAGAGAGCTCCCTTGGCCTTGCAGAAATAAATTTGCAAAGCCTCTGTGTAAAGCAGTATATTTGGGTGAGCTGACCCTGCAGAGGAATGTAGGTATAGTTGAAAAGAAACCCTAGATCTGAACTCCATTGTCCGCCAACATTTAGATGTCCAGAAAAGGAAGATCTGACAGAACTGAGAAGGAGCTCCCGGTGGGTGGGAGAAACACCAGAAGAGTATAAATCTCGGAAGCCAAGTGAAGCCCTTGTTTAAAGAGGGATTGGTTGACCGAGTCCTAAGCTATCACTGGATGAGGACTGAGGACTACTCGTTAGGTCTGACAACCTGAAGTTCTCCGACAGCTTTGATAAGTATAGTTTCAGTGGACAAAAACTGGGAAAGCCTGATTGGGGTAGGTTTAAAAGAGATTAGAAGGGAGGAAGGGAGGATACTTACGTATAAACAACCCTTTCAAGTAGTTGTAGCCCAGAAGAGGGAAGGGGCAGAGAAATGAGCTGATAGCTGAGGTGGAGTCAAGGGTGGCTTTCTCAAGTTGAACAGCCTTCAGTTATTTTTAAGTATCATTTACTAATTTTCAGTACTTCTCTTTTTTCCTCTAACCCATTGTAGCTCTTACCTATGAGAAGTCACATAGATGAACGAATCAAGGAATTTAATTAAATAATAATAAAAAGCTGAAAGGCTTTACTATGCATATCTAAATGAGCTTCTATTCTGTTGAGGATTCAGGAGTTCCGCCATAACTAAATTTGGTAAAAAATACTTTCGTATATACTGTTGCACTGAATACTGCCAATACAGTGCTAGCTACACCAGAAGGGACAGAGGGCCTGATGCCTATATTCATGGAGTTTACAGGTCTGTGTTTTTTTTAAGCTTATGTTAGCAAAATTAGAATACTACACATAAGAAATCTGTTTGAAAGAGATTGTCTTATTGTTAAATTTATCAGAAACTGAAATGATTAAGAAAATAGCATGATAGTTAAATATTTTAATGTTATTTAGGTTTAATATACTTACATACTGTTTATATCCCAAAGAGGCTTTCAAGATTAAACATGGTTTGCATTAAGAATAAAAACAAGTTAGGTAGGTCTCAACTTTGGCCACACATGAGAATTACTTGGGGAAGTTTTAAAAATCCATATGCCCAGGCTACTCCCCAGCCAATTAATTCAGGACCTTTGGGGTTGAGGCTCAAGCGTTAGTATTTTTTAAATATTAATTCTATTAAAAACAGGGAGTAAAATGCTACTAATCTCCTGAGGATGAATTCATTGCATATTTAAGGATTAAGTATATCTGAAAGTTAAGGTATCAAACATACTGGGTTATAGATCATTTTTAGACAAAGCATGCAAAGTCATTTGTAAAACCAGACTTTATCAGGATCCAGACTTTAAAAATGTTAAGTAGAGTAAATAAGATTATGCACCTCAGGCTGTCCTCAGATTATTAAGAAAAATGTCAGAAAGTTATTCATTTTCCCCTTTTAGAAGAATGAGGGAAGACATCCTTGACAATAATTTCTTAAAAGCCTTTTGGAACAGCCATCATAAAGCATACAAATAGATAGGAATTAGTCTAAAAGCTTGCCAGCAAGAGTTATAAATCGAAAAGACATAACCATCTGGAAGGCATTATAGGACTAAATAATTTTTTGATAACTTATATTAAATGTTAGTTACTAAAGCACGTACCCTATGTATTGAAATTTTAAATTCACAACAATATTCATTCTCTAATCAGTTGTCATTAAAATTTTTTTTCTTTCTTTCACAGAAAATGCTTGGACAGAAGAGATGAGTACTATTTCCACTAAGGCCTAGAATTGCCTACTGTACAAATAGTCCTGATCAGGCAATATACGAATGGCCCAAGGAAGCCACCAAATTGATTTTCAGGTTTTACATGACCTGCGACAAAAATTCCCTGAAGTACCTGAAGTTGTTGTATCCAGGTGCATGTTACAGGTCAGTGTGCATCGATTTCTGAACTCATTCATGTAAACCTGGGTGGTGGTTTTTTTCATATTGGAAGAAAACTCTTTTATCTTCTTGTTGGCATTAGTGTGCTATGATGAAAAGAAATGAACTTTGGTGTCTCATAGTTAGGTGGCCTACTTAAACAAGGTATTTCGGCTCTCTGGCATACAGATAATATGCCAGAACCGGGTTCAGAACCACCGATCCAGTGATGGTTCCCAGAAACTACCTTGTAAAGTAGGTATGAGGACTAAACAGGAGCCCAATAGAAAGTGTTGGTACGTGGTCCATACTTACTGTGAGCTTGCTTCACTTTTCCCCCACCTGTTTTGCCAGAATGTTTTTAAATTCCACATCTTCATATGAAAGTGAGAAAATCATTAAATAAGGAGTCAGGAAACATGGGTTCTAATCCCAAATGAGCACCCCAAGCTGATTTGGCGAGTAATATGCCTTCTTTATACTCTAGTTTGCTTGTCTGGAAAACAGAGGAATTTGACTTCGACAATGCCTCAGGTCCCAATTCTAAAGAAAAAAGTTTGTTTTTATATTTTTTAATTTAATCTGTAGGTTTTCCAAATACTGTCACTAACCATCTAATAAATTTTTACTTTTTTCTTGTCTGTACAATTTTAGAAATCCATAATTCTAAATATTTAGTGATAGTTGTGCCTTCTCATTTGATAAACTAGAAATCTTTCCATCAAAAACTATCTTTCAGCTTGTTAAAATAGAGATATAAAAAGGTAATTTGGGCTCAGATATATTTACTTGACAAATTGTTTTTAAAGTTTGAAATTATATGAAATTTTTAAAGGCTCAACACCTGTACTTGATGCCAAGTGACTACATTTTGTTCACACCCTTATCACCTTTTATCTGTACATTTTAATTACCTGCCCTTAGTCTAATCCAGTTTTGGTCTCTCCAGTCTATCCACCTCACTTCTGCCAAGGTATCTTTCTAAATGCAGATTTTGTCATGTATTTACCTGCCTAAAAACCTCATGATTGTTTTCCGTACCCTTCAGAATAAAGTTCATATATCGTGACTAGGGCATACTAGGTCTGTGATCTGGAATCCTGCCTTCTTCTGCAGCCTGGTCTCTTGCCTAGTCCTTCCTCTTCACACCCTGTGCTGCAGACGTCCTCAACTGATTGGAATTCTCTGAATATGCCTGGCTTTTTCTATAGTATAGTGTTTAAGAGAATATGTTTTGAGTTAATAATACTGTATTGTGTCCTTGAAATTCACAAAAAGTGGATCTTAAGTGTTCTCACCACCACTGAAAAAACACTTGGGGGTGGGGGAAGACTGTAAAGTGGTGGATGCATTGATTAACTTGATTTTAGTGATCATTTCACAATGTATAAATATATTAAGTTGTAACATTGTATTTACCTTTAAAGAATCACATTGTACAGCCTAAATATATACTGTTTTTGTCGATCATACCTTAGTAAAACTGGGGAGAAATAAATAAGTAAAAGTAAAATTTAAAAATTAAATAATAAATAGCATATGTTTTGGTGATAAATAGACTGGAGTTCAAGTTTTAACAGTTACTAGCAGTAATTTAATTAACCTCTCTGACCCTCATTTTCCTCATCTGTATAGTGGGAATAAAAAACTTCACAGTGAATTAAATATGATGCAGATAAAACAACTGGTAGGATACCTGATTCATAATGAGTGCTCAGTAAATGTTAGCAGCCATTACTAATAACAATAATAATAGTAGAAGACCTATAATAAATATTTGGTGAATGAATCAGTAGTCCACATTAGTTGATATAGTATGTAAAAGAAAAAATGAAAAGTTAAAAAAAAAAGTAATGACTGGAGTCAGAAGTATGGGGAGGAGCAGAGATAGTTGGGGGGGGGGGGGGTTTTCCCCGTAGAACCCAGGTACCTCTTTCTAACTTTTCAAATAGACTTTAAAATAACATTATACCGAGAGGGTTCAGTGAGTCACTGAAAAATAGAAAAATAATATAGTTCTTCAATAAAATGTTATAAGACTTGATATGAAAGAACTGTCCAGAACACTTTCCCAGTAGCACAGCTGTAGAGATTTTGAAGAACCTTAACTGGGAGCATTTTGTATAATTATTTAAATTATTTTCAAAAAAATAGAGTGCTGCAGTATGGTTTTCAGAGTGTATTAAATTAAAATGCAGGGTAGTATGTATAAAGGAGGATGGGGGTGCGCCTGGGTGGCTCAGTTGGTTAAGGGTCTGCTCCTGATCTCAGGGTCCTGGGATCAAGCCCCACAAGGGGCTCCCTGCTTGGCGAGGAGTCTGCTCTCCCTCTCCCTCTGCCCCCTGCTTCGTGTGCGTGCACGCACACAGATTCTCTCTCTCTTTCAAATAAAATCTTTTAAAAATAAAAAAATAATAAATGAGGATGGGGGAGTAAATATTCACATGTATATTTGCCCTTGTTTGCATAAAGAAATACCAGAAGGATTAAAAACAAAATTAATAAAAGATAGTCATCCATAGTGAGCAAGAGGGAAAAGGCCAGATGGGGATGGAGATAGAAGTGAGACATCTCAACATATATCTTTCTCTATTGTTTTGATCTGTATAAATGAATTACCTACTTTTTTAAAATGTAATAAGTAAGCATGTGTTCAGTTTTACCAAAAAAGAAAATAAATGATTTTGAATTTCTTTTGGGTACCTGGTAGTAACACTTTCACCGTGTTTATCTGGTTTTACAAAGACAGACCTCCCTAAGGCATGCTTCCCAGCATCTAGTGATAACTAAAATGAAATCCATTTTGCTTGCAAATTACCATTCTTTTAAATTGAGTTGATAATCATTCTGGGCATCTAAGTAATGTGGGTTTTAGCTGATGTAACAAGAAATGTTAAAGAAAGGAATGGGGAAGCCTCCTCTGGGAATACAGCTAGGGTGTACATCTTCCCAAATTTGGGGAGATATTTTTAAAGTAAAAGTAAATTTAGCTACCTCTAAATGTACTTCCAAACATCTCTTACTTGGTGACAGACTTTTCTTTTGGGAGCTGCTCTCCCTTCCTCAGTTGGGTAGGCTTCTGTCCTTTCTCTGGAGAGAGCCTCCCTATAAAATACTGGTTCCGAACTTTTCTAGATGAAAAAACCGTGGTATAGAAAATATAAGAAATTTAGTCATCAAAGGATCATGCTGTGCTGCCACTTTGTATATTTGCTCTTAGATATCTTGCTTCCTGAGAGAAGAACAGAAGTATCTACCCTCTGTTCTCTTCTTGACTTTATTTACTGCTCAGATTCTTGTTTGGAACTACTTATATCATTTCCTTGTGCTGTGGATTCTCTAAGATGGCAATAATATCAGCAGGTGTAACTCATATCTTTAAATTTTATTTATATTTGATAATTGAATCTTAGAATAGTGTAAAAATATTGCATAGTTGACACTCTGACTTTTTTCCTTTTTTTTCACTGAATTTTTCAATTCTCTTAAAGTGACAATTTAATCTGTAAGTTTAAAATTTGCTATTCCTGGGGCGCCTGGGTGGCTCAGTTGGTTAAGCGACTGCCTTCGGCTCAGGTCATGATCCTGGAGTCCCGGGATCGAGTCCCACATCGGGCTCCCTGCTCAGCAGGGAGTCTGCTTCTCCCTCTGACCTTCCTCCTTCTCATGCTCTCTGTCTCTCATTCTCTCTCTCAAATAAATAAATAAAAAAGAAAAAAAAATAAAATAAAATTTGCTATTCCTTTTCAAAGCAATGTGTTAGTTGTGTGCATTCAGTATTTGTAAGACTTAGTATTTAAGTACCATATCCTTAGTTGAAACCTTTTCAGATGACCTCCACCCATAGTCCTTATCCATATTCTTATTAAAACACCTGTCAGTCTGTATTATATTTATTTGTGAACACATTAATGTCCTCTACTAGACCATGAGATCCTTAGCAGCAGTTGTATTCCTTCCTACTTGCCTAATGGAAGCTCAGTAAATTGGTTGAAGGAGTGAATGAAGAGTTAGAGAAGGATGATCCTAGGAGATATTTTGATACTATCTGTAATCTCTGTGTCTGTGCAAGAAGCTTGGGGAAAAATGCAAGAGGAACTGGAAATAATGAGTCAGACCTTTTGTAGCTTTGAAGAGAATGAATGCAGATTTGCATATATACAAAAAAGCAATGATTTTCAACCTTTTAGAAACTTATCCCACGCCTTTTGTTACACTTAAAGGGAGTCTCACTGAAAGTAATTGGGGTGTCTTTGAGAAATAGATGATTCCAGGTCTAGGGTAAGAAGTGTACAAGATGATTTTGGACTTCTTGTCATATCAGAAAACAAGCTATGAAAGACTACTAGGTTCATGTCATATGTACACATGAGCCAACTTGAAATCATTCCCACTAGCCTAAAGATAGGATATAATGACCATAATCAGTTGATACACATCAAAATGTTAAAGATAACTGGAGTTTATGAGGATACTGAAAATAAATCTTAGTAACCTTTAGAGGTTGCTAAGGGCATCAATTCGTTATTCTAAAAAACCAGTAGAGAGAATTTATTTATCCTTTTTCTTCTGTGCAAAGAGTACTAAATAGTTGAAGAGAGCAAGTTCTTTGAGGAAGAACTGCAGCTCATACACAAAGAAGGAATCTTATAATTGGGATATCACCAATATCACCATTTTGCAACCCCTAATGAAATAAAGATTCTAAAGTGATCATCAGTAACTGCTTGAAATCATTAGCTGGATCAGGCTGATAACATCAGAATCTGCCCGTCAGCTTTAAGATCACAAAAGGACAGACAGACATTGTGTCTCCTTGTGTGATGCAGTAAGAAACAGACCCTATAAAGAGTCTTGCCAAAAATTCATACATGAACCTGCTGACACTTAGAGTTACAACTACTAGTTCACAATGAAATACAGCCGATATTGACACCACAGAGTGCACCTATCCAGTCTAGATGGGAAATTCTGCTGCACAAGTGATCAAGTTTTTCAACAAATGA